TCCCTTAGGGAACCTAATCTAGTCTGGAGGTGCAGGAAATCTTCCTTAAGAAAATGATGTTTCCGTTGGGCCCCGAAGGGATCAGGCTGTGAAGATCTGGGAGCAGGGCCTATTCTTGGCAGAAAAGACAGTGTCTTCAAGAAAGAGGCAGAAAGTCAGGGTGGCTGGAGAGAGGTGACCCAGAAAGGATGCACAGGCCAGATCGGAAGGGCCTGGAGGTCCTGGAGGAGGACCCTAGTCTTTGTCCTAAGAGCAACAGGGAGGTCACCTAAACGTTGTAAGAGGAATGACTTGGTCAGATTCAGGTCCTTCCCCCTGTTTTTTTTTTGAGACTGAATGAGTATTCCTTTATTTATTTATGCTACTAGAATGACTATCATTTATTACAGGTTACATAATTTTTTGTTGATCCATTTTCATTTTTATTCTTATTAAAAAAATTTTTTTTTGTTTTTATACGGTTTTTAAAGAGGCTCACTCAAACTTTATTCATTCCACAAAACATCACTGAGCACCTAATAAGGATCAGGAAACGATCTAGATGCTGGGATGCAGCAAAAACTAAACTGATTAAAGATAAGCAAGTAAATAAAAGAGTAGATCTTAAATGTTCTCACCACAAAAAAAGAAATGGTAATTATGTGACGGGATGGAGGTGTTAACTAATGCTATGCTGGTAATCATTTGCTGTATATAAGTGTATCACATCAACATGCTTTATACCTTAAATGTACACAATGTCATATGTCAATTACATCTCCATAAAGCTGGAAAAAACCCAAACAATCAAGCAAATAAACCACCACCAACAACAAAAAACTCCATCTAAAAGGAGCTTTTATTCCAGTAAGGGGAGACTGACAATAAACAAAGTAAGTTATAAAATACATAGTATGTTTGATGATAGCAGAAAATAAAGCAGGAAAATGAGATGGGAATGTTTAGGACAGTCAGAGAGGGCCTTGAGGATGGCATTTGAGCAGAGACCTGAAGGAAGTGAAGGGACAAATGATGGGGAAATCTGTGGAGACGGCATTTCAGGCAGAGGAAATAGTAAGTGCCAAGGCCCTAGGCAGGAGTGTACCTAGAGTGTTCAAGGAAAAGCAGAGAGGTCAGTGTGGCTGGAGATGGGGTTGGAGAGATAGCCGGAGGCTCACAGGGCCTTGCACTCCCTGTTAGACCTCTGGCTTTTTCCCTGAATAACATGAAAAACCACTGGAAGTTTCTTAGCAGAGGGGGAGCATTTTTCAGGACCAGTGGTATGGAAAACATATTGTACAAACACAAGGACAGAACAGTCAGGAGGCCATTGCAATCATGCCTGTGAGTGATGGTGAAGCTTAGACAAGGGGAGCAGGGGAGGTGATGAGAAGCACTTGAATTCTACATATATTTTGTGGAAGAGTCAAATGGATTTGCTGGTGGATTGGATAAAGAAAGTCAATTATTTGAAGTCATTTTTTTCTCCCTACCTAAAAGTTATCATAGTCATTTTCAGGCCTAGATAGAAAGGTACCTAGGATATTTATTATCCTTGATTAGATACTTCTTATCTTCTTTTAAATAATATTTTAACTTCTCAAATTATACGAGGAAACCATTATTTTATCCTTCTTATAAAAGGTCATATAGTGCAAAATGAACACTCCCACTTACCACACCACAGTTGTCCTTTTCCAAGAAAGAGATAATCTCTATTATGTTTGACTTTTTTATGCATTTACGTATAAAAAATTTATAGCTTTATTCTTTTAAGAAAAATGGGATCATACCATTCACATTGATTTCTGCTTAATATGCCTTGCAAATCTTTCCAAATTAGTAACCTAGAGATCCACTTCATCCTTTTAAATAACTTAGGAGTCCTCTAGAAATGTATCTGACTCGTTTCTCTCCTTTCCCCCAATCACTGTCTAAATTAGGGGATCAAAGCAGGCAGGCATCCACGCATATGCCCTAGTCAGAGTCTCTCCTTCCACAAAATATCCACGAGATGACATTTTAAGGTTGAGAGAATGAGCCCAGCATGCAGAGCCGATCTGTTTGAAATGTCTTAGAGGGGATCACAGTTGCCTTGAATCACTTTAGTTTGAAAGTACTTTTGCTGGGGAAAATGCTTGGGGCATTTTGTGCCACTGGTTTACCAACACCTCACTCACTAGCATTCATGGTTATAGAGAGTTCAAGAGCCCAGGGCAGCGGGTTGCCCTGGCCTTATATGGTACGCAAACCTCCCAAACCAAAACGGAAGCATCTGACTCAACAAGAATAAGTGATGTTAATGGCTGAAAAGATTTCTCCACATGTGTATGCGTCTTTTCCAATTATTACAATGTTGCATTTTATTATTTATTGCATAGGTGATGCCTGAAGGTTGTAGGAAAATTAGAACAAAATACAGAAAAAGACTAGATAGGAATGACCAGAAAGCTTCTACCTAAAGATACTATTTTGCTGTTTACAAGAGGATTGGAAATTGGGTTGGCTGTGACATATCTTATTTACGTAGCTGCCACAGTACAAACCACTAACTTTGCTTGGTTCTTCTGCCCATGTGCAGGGATATGTCATGAGGAGGTGAGAGGGAGCACAGACATATCCTGTTGGAAAACCAACTCCTGCTTTCCGTCACCAGGGTCTCTTCATAAGGAAGCTATGTTACAGTGCTAGAGGCAGTTGGACCAGTTGACAATGGTTTCCAGTGGTTGGGACAATGCTTAAAATTCAGCAGCTGCCCTTCACTCTGCTCTTCTGACCCTCTGTAGAGGCACCTGGGACACAATCATGCCTTTCTCTGGAGTTTGTTCACCTGTTTTAAATTAATGACAGGGACCTAGTCCTTCAGCTCGGCATCAATGAAGAATAGCAGAGAAAGGAAATGAGAAGGATCTGCCCAGCTGGGTGGGTCCCTCCAGGATATTAAGCCAGCTGGGAAGGAGGAGTTGGGCCATAAGCTATGTTGGGACTCAGTTCTTCCCCACACAGCTGGGATGGGTGTTTGCCTTGACGCCAGGGGCCGTTCTGCTGAGCTGGGACACGATGGCTGGACACACCAGCCTGGAATAAAGGGAGAAGGACTCATGCATATTTTGCCAACAGGGCGATGGATGCGTGAGCTGTCCTAGCTGCTGAATGAAATTCAGTCCTTTAGCCTTCTACCTTTCATGCAAATAACTAGGCTTCTTCTTGCTTTGAGGGGGCAAAAGGCTTTTGTTTCTATAATTGCGGTCAATAACATTTATTAAATGTAGGAATAGTATTATAAGATGGGGTTTAAAGAGATATTGGACAGAGCCTTTGCCCTCCAAAAACCCTCATAATCCAGTGGCAGGGACAAAATGTAAGCGAGGAATAGTATTACCAGGCGGCAAGGGGTGAGCGCTACCTGAGTAGAACGGAATATACATGTTAATGGTGGTCAGAGGAAGGAGGCATCTCCATGTACTAGAGTGGACACGACATAAGAGCTTCAGGAAAGAGGTAGCATTTGGCTTGGGACCTAAAGGAAGTCCAGGGGTTAGAGAAATGGAGATGAGAGGTGGGAGGGAATGCCAGGCAGTGGGAGATGGCTCGGGTAAAGGCTCTGCGGGTGCAGGGCAGATGTGCAAGAAGTAATGCTGGTGAATATCGCAAAGAGAGAGTCAAAAGCATGAGTGTGTGGGGAAAAGGGAAGAAAAGTGAGAGACATTGCAAGGTTGTGAAGAGAGATTCTTGAAGGAAAGATGCCATTGACTGCACCGGGGATTTCTGGAAGGGTGATTAGTTTTAGGGAAATGATGACTTTGAGACTTGCCCAGTTGAAGGATGAGAATAGAGATGAAGGTGATCGTCTAGCTCCAGAGGGCAGTCAGAGCTGGAGAGAGTATGCGGAAATCACATTCAAGCCTCATTAGCGCGATCGGACTGAATGAGGTCTCCAAAGATGGAGCAGCCGGAAGCCGTCATCTCAGTCTTGCTTATGCTCACGTGTTGGGTGAAAGGAGGAAGTGGATGTAGCAAAAGACGTGGGCTAATGGCCCCGGTGATAAGACTATCATTAGAAGGTTCACAACAGAAAGGGGAGAAGAGAATGTCAAGAAAATGGAGCCCTGTTCCCGCCTTGACTGCCACAGACAAGCCAAGAATGAACCCTGAGAATAACCCACTGCATATGGCGGTTAGAAGTCATGGCCGACTCCTGAGAAACCGGTTGTGATCAGGTTGGCTTGGCGGGTGTCTGGAGTGTGTGGTGATGAAATAAATACAGTGAGGATAAACCAGTGGTTTTAAAACTTGGCTGAACAGCCTCATCATTTGGAGGAAACCTGAAAAATACAAATTCCTCTGCCCCACGTCAGACCTTGTGAGTCAAATCTTTAGTGGTTGTGCCTATGAAACTGAGTTTCCACAGGTGGCTCAAACGAAGCCAGTCCACAGAGCAGCATTCGTGAATCACTGGTTAAAGATGAGAAAATTAAAGATTAAGGACTAAAGATGAGAAATTAGATGTACTTGAGGGTAGGGTAGGGCTGAGGAAGTCTTCCTGGTAGTTTTTTCCCCCTTAATTTTACTTTTAGAATAGAGGAGATCTGAGCTCTTTTTCCAGGTCATGGGGGAAATAATCTGATTGAAGATACAAGAGAGATGGAAGATAGGAGATAGTCAAGTGTCCCCAGCTATAGGAAATAGGAGCGGGTCCTCCGAGGCAGGTGGGTGTAGGGCACCCTGGGAGGGGATAGCAAGGTGGAGGAGGTGGAGAGTCAAGGGAATATTCGAGGACGTGAAAGGCAACCCCTGCTTTCTTTTCTTTTCTTTTTTTTTTTTTTTGCAGTATGTGGTCCTCTTACTGTTGTGGCCTCTCCCGTTGCAGAGCACAGGCTCCGGACGCGCAGGCTCAGCGGCCATGGCTCACAGGCCCAGCCACACTGCGGCATGTGGGATCCTCCCGGACCGGGGCACGAACCCGTGTCCCCAGCATCGGCAGGCGGACTCTCAACCACTGCGCCACCAGGGAAGCCCAACCCCTGCTTTTTTAAACTGATTCCAAATCAAGCTCGGTGTATTCTTCAGAGATTGACTCAATTCGCCTAAGAACCTTGTTGAGTCCTTCCTAGCACCGTGTTGAGCAAATTACATGGCACTTTCGTCATGCCAGCTACACCCAGGAAATGCAGGTTATGAAAGTTTAGAATTAGGAAATGACACAAGTTGTGCAGTTCAACGTGAGCTTATCTTTTGAAAGTTTCTATTTCACAGCTCCTGAGGGGCTGCACTCTACATGACCTGTAATACCGAGGTTTTAGGAGACCGGCTCTAAGAGGAAGAATTGACCAAGTTACCTGTTGCAGCTCCAGGCGACAGCGTCTGAGAGTCCAGTTTGGGGGTAAGAAGGGGAGACTGTGGGTGCCGTGCCCACAGAGCTTGTTGAAAATGGGTTCTCAGCTTTGTGGCAGGAAGCACTAGGTCACAAATCACACCTCACACCTTTCTCTCGCCGGCTGCCTGGGCTCCGTGTGAAATCTGGGTCTGTAATCTTCTCCTTCTGCCTTTTTTCTCCCCACTACCCAGTGTCAGCACAGTCCAACTGTCATTTGCAGATTATCTCTGCATCGTGTGGAGCACGTCTCTAGTGTTCTTATAATAGCAATGAACTTAGTGGTGCAGGTAGTGAATAGCAACACTCTTTTGAACTCATCGTGTGCATTTTATCTAGTACCTCCCTTTGAAATTTGCCTTGGGCACATTTCTATTTTGACATCCTATTACAATGAAATAATTCTTTCTGATTGTGGAAGACAATACAAACATTATGACCAATAATAGTGCTCACTGTATACCAGACACTGTCTCAAACATTTTAGGTATTTCCATGCACTTTAACCTCACAACAACACTGTGATGTAGTTATTCAGATTCCCATTTTACAGATGAAGGAATTGAGGCTCAGAGGAGTGAGACATGTTGCTCCAAAATCACATAGCTAGTGAGTGGTGGGGCAGGGATTCCAACCCACATCCATCTGACACCAACGCCAGAGCTCTTCAATCGTAAATGATGAAATAGATTGAAACGTAGTTAACTAGAAGGGGAAGGCATCCTTGAGAGTTAAAACTATTTGTTCTGGGTGCTCCCTGATTTTTTCAGCACAATATTGGCTGGGCATTCTTTAAACAATCTCAGCCGAAACGCCTGCTTAAAGGACTCAGACACTTCACCTGAATCTTCCATGTGCTGGTCAGGTTTAGAAAAGCCAGTTGGATGAACCCCTGGAGGCCTGTAGTACCTTCCGTGAGCTCATAGAACATCAGAGTGAGGCAGAGGCCAACCCTGATGTATCTCAGAGTTGATGGACAAGGAGGCCGTTCATTCATTTGAGAAACCATCCCCATAGAGTGCACCTCTGCATGCCATTCCTGTGTTTACGTAACGGAAACAGAAGTGTGGAAGCATCCAGTCCCAGGAGGGAACATTCACAGGAGACAAAGAGGACTGGGGGGGCGGGCAGTGGGGAGTGACCGCCTGTAACAGATGGAACAGGGCCCTAACCCAGACAGCGAGGTGAGTGGGAGGTGTTAGTTCCTGTGAACTGGAGTTTACCCCTTGACTGACATGGACGAAATCCACAGATGGCAGACTTTCAGGATTCGGGGTAGGAGAGAGGTGCATTCCTGTGATGCTCGGATACAGGGTGCCAGTGTCTGCGATTTCTTTCTGACATTAGAGAGAAGTGTGACAGGGGCGTTGCTCCATCAGCCGCCTTGTGAAGCCCTGATTAACTAGCAGCTCAGAAAGAGCTGGGGACTGACCGTCAGGCTGACCTTGACTGGAGCGCCTCCCCACGATTCACTGGCTGAGTGATTTAGGCAAGTATTTACCCCTCTGACCCCTTATAAAGCTGGAGATAGTACCTACCTTTCTGGGTTGTTGGGAGAATTATGGAGCCAATGGATGTTCCATCAAATATCAACATCACTTCTGGCAAATGCTCAGGAGATAGCACTGTTCTATGTCGGTGGTTCTCAACCCAGGGTGATTTTGCCCTCCAGAGCACATTTGGCAACATCTGGGGACATTTTCGATTGTCACCGGTGGGAGGAGGATGCATCAGCATTGACTGGGTAGAGGCCCAGGCTGCTACCCAACTGTCATAGAGACAAAGTGGAAAAACTCTGGTCTATGTTATGGTAACGCCCATAATCCTCATAGGAACCCCATGAAGTGGTACTATTATTATTCCTCTATTTTAGATAGGGGAATATTGGAGAGATTTAATGCCTTGGAAGTGAAATGACTTGCCCAAGCACAGGTAGCTAGTAAGAGCTGGGATTTGAACCGAGCCAGTCCAGCTCCAGGGTTCTTACATTTAACCACTTATCTTAGGTTGCCTTCTGCTGCAGTGGGTCAAAAGCAGTGAAGGTAGGAGATCTAGAAGCTTCCCTTTCCCCTATGCTAGTGATTCTTAAACTCCAGCAAGCATCAGAATGACTTGTTGGGCAAATTAGAATGCAGTTCCCTGGACCCTATGCCCAGGCCACCCTGACGTAGATGTTTTTTGAGGCACAAGGCTCTACACCAGCCCTTGTGAAAGCTTTCACTTAGAGTACCAGCATGATATCAGCCGTAAAATCTTGTTTTCTGAATCTCAGTTTTTCACGAAATACTGTGTGAAGTGCTTAACATAATTTTAGGATGTTGTCCAAGGGAAAAATTTTAATGCAAAAGCTTTTGAACCCGAATCCACTGATTCACTCACAGGTATTTACTGAGCACTGCTCTGTGCCAGGCACTGTTCTGTGGACACAAAGATAAATATGACCCTATCAGGTCCCTTTCTTATTCAGTGGTCCTCAGCTCTTTATATCATCACAAGCTGGCCTCCTGTCCAATCCCCACATTTCCCTACACAGCCTCTCAGCTCTGTTCATTGCCCACTGTCCCCACTTTCTCATTGCTGCCTCTGTAGCTTTGTCGTGCTCTACTGTACTCGAGGCCTCCTCTCTCTCTAATCCACATATCTAACTCCTATTCATCCTTCAAAACCCAGATCAAATCTCATTTCCTTAGTGAAGGCTTCCCTAACCATCCTACTTCAGGACAATTTCTTCTCTCCCATAGTCTCACAGTATTTTAAGTCACCATTATTTTTGGAACTGCTACTTCGTATACACATATGGATTCATTTTTATGCATGCCTGGTAGGGGAAAAAAGGTTGCAATCTGGAACAGTTTATTGTAAAGGATTTAGTCACTCTGGGCGGCATGGTAGATGTAGATGCAGAATAGGCATCGGTTTGCCAAATGTAGTTTAAAATTCCTGCGGGTGGATCTTAGAGCCCAGATCTGCCGGCTGTGTGCCTGGCTTACCCACTTGGACCAAGTGCTGCTGCTCAGAATGGCCAAAACCCACAGAGGCCCCAGTTAGTATCTGTGTCTGGCACTAATTCCAAGAATTTCTGGATTTGTCCTTCAGTGATTCTTCCCAGAGTTGTCAGCTAAAGAGAAAGAGGAAGACTTTAGCAATAGCTAATGTTTATTGAGTGCTTACTATGTGCTGGTCATTGTGTTCAATGCTTTATTTGCATCGTCTTGTTCAACCCTCACAGTAACCATGTAAGGTAGGAGCTATCTCCTCCATGTTACATGTGAAGAAACAGAGGCTAAGAGAGATTTAGTAACTTGCCCAAGTTCACACAGCTGGTAGCAGCTGTAGTCAGTGGAATTCAGGCCTTTCTGTTTTTATTCTGAACTTTTAACCCTTCTATGCAATCCAGTGTTGGGTGTAAAAACTATTAAGGCCACCCAAGGCTTCCCAATTTTTAGATGAATGCTGGGACTCATAACCTTTGTCGTCTAAAAAGCTTTGTATTGAAATAAGGATTATTTAAGAACCAATGCAGTTCCAACTGAAAAGATGTTTTGTCATATTCAGTAAAAGAAGATTTAAAATAACTGCTGCTTGGTCATACTCCCATTCTATCCTGAAAGCCCAGCTCTGGACAACTGGGAAGATAGGGTGTAAAAGGGCACATGCATTACAATGTTTTCTAGGAAAACTGGTGGGTGAAAGACTTCCTGAGAAATTTCACACTGGAAAGGAATACTCTGCTCTGCTATATTTAAAGGCAGATAATGAAATCTTTTCTTCTGGGCACATGTTCCTTGCCCTGTGTTTATAGTTGTCACTAGTTCAGGTGGCCTGAAATGCCTGATGTTGGAAATACTGGCCATTTCAGATTCCCCATTGGTCAGGAAGGGTGAGGAACGTCTCCTAATTTTATAAAAAGCAGAGTCACAGAACTTAGAAAGATGCAGTTTGTACCCATTACCAGAGGGACAGATTTTATGGTTTTTAGTGTCAATTTGAATAAGCAAATTTGATGGGGATAGCGGTTGCATAATTTAAAAAAACTGTTTTTGTTTTGTTTTATAAAAATCCAGATTTTGAGAGGCATGCGTAGCTGAGATGAAGTGAGCTAACATTTTGGTCCAGAAAGAAATGCAGAAAAGAAGTTCTTGGTGATTCTGAATATTAAGTCTTTGCTTTGGAGTCAGTTGTAATTTTTATGTCAGTTCTTATTAAAGTAACAGCAGACACATACATAATGAAACTTTATTAAATGTGAATGAGTCCCTGAGAGAATCACTAGCGATAGGAAGAACAAAAAATGCTTCCCTGGTGGCGCAGTTGTTGAGAGTCCACCTGCCGATGCAGGGTACATGGGTTCGTGCCCCGGTCCGGGAAGATCCCACATGCCGCGGAGTGGCTGGGCCCGTGAGCCATGGCTGCTGAGCCTGCGCGTCCGGAGCCTGTGCTCTGCAACGGGAGAGGCCACGACAGTGAGAGGCCCGCGTACCGCAAAAAAAAAAAAAAAAAAGCTTCACTGAACCAGCTTTTAAAATCTCCAATGCTTAAATTCTTCTAGTCTCTCAAAAGTCAGCTTCCCCCAGAAGAATGCCCCCCATTTTAAATTTTTCTTATTAATGTGAAATATCAAGTCATTTTTACGTTTGAAATATTTTTTCATTTAAAAAATTGACTAAACCTCATCCTTCACATATTTTCACAGTTAAGATACTTATGATTATGTTGGGAAAGTGTAATTTTGATTATGCTTCCTTCAGAATTTGCTAATGTGAAAAAAGCATTTTAAAAAAAGATACAAGGTTTAGCACTTCCCTGGTGGCACAGTGGTTTAGAATCCATCTGCCAATGCAGGGCACACGGGTTCGAGCCCTGGTCTGGGAAGATCCCACATGCTGCAGAGCAACAAAGCCCATGCACCACAACTACTGAGCCTGCGCTCCAGAGCCTTCAAGCCACAACTACTGAGCCCCCGTGCCACAACTACTGAGGCCTACGCACCTAGAGCCTGTGCTCTGCAACAAGAGAAGCCACTGCAATGAGAAGCCCGCTCACCACAACAAAGAGTAACCCCCGCTCATCGCAACTAGAGAAAACCTGTGCGCAGCGACGAAGACCCAACGCAGCCAAAAATAAATTAAAAAAAAAAAAAAGATTTAATGAAAGGCCATTTTTTTTTTCTGTTCCTCAGAAGATCAAAGCAAAATGGAATAGAATGCCATTCTTCCCTAACTTGGGTTAGGTGTTAAACAGTGCTTCTTTGCTACCTTCTTGCATATTGTTCAGTACAAGGATGTTATTTTGGAATATGTGACATAAGGGCTGCACCAATTAAGAATTACTTTTGTTTGCTAGTAACAAAGATCTAGCTACAGTGCTTAAACGTATAAGCATGTGATTCTCTTAAACAAAAGCACAGAGGTAGGGCAGTCTTTGCTTAGTACAGCCACTCCACAGTGCCATCAGAAAACCAGGTTCATTCTGTCTTTCTGCCCCACCACCCTTAGTTTGGGACTTCTACTGTTAAGGACTCCTCATGATTTAAGAAGGCTGCTGAAGCTCCAGTCATTACATATGAGTTCTTATCAGGAAATAAGGGAGGACTTCTTGAAAATCTTATTAGTGACTTTTACTTATATCCCATTGGCCACCCCAAGCTGATATATAATATAACGTAATATAATGTGATGTAATGTGATGTAATGTAATGTAACGTAATTTTTCAGCTTAGGCATATTACCCAAGATTCAGTTAGTAAGAAATATAGAAATAATGAGTTACCACCAGCAATCCCGGCCACAATATCTGCGTTTTAGGCTGGCTATTATCCAGCTAGACTATATTGCAACAACAAAGTAACCTTCACACCTTGGTGACCTGTAACAAAGACATCTTTCTCACTCTTACAAAGCCTGATCCAAGTCCAGTGACTCTGAAGTGTAGCTCTCCTCCATGTGATGACTGCTTCCTTTTATGGCCCCTTCTTCTTAGCATGTGGCTTTGGGGATGCTGAGATAAGGGGATGTATAACTGAAGGATCTCACAAGGGCTTTTCACTGTTGGAGCACGGAAGTGACACACGTCACTTCTGCTTACTGTCTTATGGCCAAAACTAGTCATAATGCAATGCGGCTAGGACTACCATCTTCCTAATACCCAGGAAGGATCCTATGATGATGACTTTGTCTATGCAATTCAGTCCTATTCCCAAACTAAGCCAGTTGGGTTCAATAGGTCCTAAAGCAATACAACAGCCTGTTTTTCAGTAGCCATTTATCAAGTGGTTACTGTGTGCCAAAGCATGGTGTCACATGCTCAAGGTACAGATAGGAAAAAAGACACAAATCCTCTTTCAAAGAACTTATTGACTAATAAAAAAGACATACACACTTGTAGAATAATAATTGCAATAATAAAAGTAAAAACCAGGTGCTCTGGGAATTAAAAGTTGGGAGGATTCCTTCTAGTTGATGCCCAGGGAAAGGTTTTTGGAGGAAGTAATATTTAAATGGGGCCATGAAAGATTAGTAGAATTAACCTAGGTGATGTGGTCCAATCAACAGTATCTCCCTCAAGGAGTTTTCTGAATTAGTAGGAATGTTAGGCAGTAATTTCAGTGTTGCCAGTGTCTAGCTATTTGATCTTGGACAAGTTTTTCCATTCTGTAAGATGAGAGAGTTGCATAAAATGGTCTCTGTTGTTTCTTTCACATCTAATAGTCTGCGATTCTCCATTTCTTAAACCAACATTCTAAAAGCCTAATGATGTGGTTGTGGAACACACAGCCAGTGAAAACTTCAAAGCAGAAGTACAGTCAATGCTCACTGACATACTTGGAAAACAGAGAAAAATAGAAGACAAAAAATCTAAATATCAGGTATTAATTGTAATATCAATCTCATTCTCTAGTTTTATTGCAACTTCTCCCAGGATTTTTGATGCACAGGTTTAAAGATTTTGTGTTGCTTTTTTCTTTTGAATATAGTCGCCAAAAAGAACATGGGCTATATTATAGCAGTCTTTATTCTCTGAATATGCTACCACAAGCATTTTTTCCATGTTATTTCAAATTCTTTAGAAACATGAGAAAGTAGGATAAAAATGATATTTAGGTCCATTTCTGTGCCTCCTTCTGATAAACTACTTAAAGGCCAAGTTTCCCTCGTGTGCTAGTGAAGCTTAGTGAAAATGAAATAATATTGTAGTAAGTTTAAACTTGTGGTAGCAGGCATTGGGTTGTTTTCATTATAGTTTGTTCATTAAAAGTTATAGCTCACATTTGTTGGACATGAACAACACAGCAGTAACTCTAACAAGTGCTTTGCAAAGGCTATTGACTCATTGCTTCCAGCAGCCCATATTATTGCCCCCATTTTGTTGACGAGAAAACTGCAACGCAGAGAGATTATGCAGCTTGCTTAAGGTCTCATAACTGGAAAGTGGCTGAACCAGGACCCACACTTTGGTTTCTGCACTTTGCGGTATCACTACTGCGTGGTATTGTCCGTCTCCATTGCAAATGGCAGAAACCGAACTTAAGTTGGGGTAAGCAAAAAGGCGATGTGATTAAAGCCCAGAGGCATCTCTTGCTCCAGGTAGGCGGGATACAGGTTTCCACTGGGTCTCCTTCTTGCCCGTCTTGCTCTTGATCACCATCTCTTGGCTGTGCTCTGCTCTGTGTTGCCTTCACCTACTGTGAGGCAATCCGTGTGGTAACCTCTGGTGGCATCTCACAGTTGGTGATTTAAGCGACAAGAGAGCCTTCTTTCCCAAAACATCGCTGAAGTTCAGCAGTAGCGTTTCATTGGCTTGGCTTTTTCACATGGCCATCTTTGATCCCATCACAACTGGTGGGGGATAGAATATTCTGACTGCTCAAGTCTCAGCCACACGACCACCCTTTGAGTTGATGGGGGTTGAGGGGGGAGCAATTTTTAGTTCTGTCCAAATTTTATGGACCGAGAGGGGTGGGTATTCTTCAAAGGGCAACTAGGGCACTTTTATCAAAAGAAGGTGAATTGGGGGCTGGGCAGGCAAAACCAACCACTGCCCTCCATGTTGGCTTCTGCAGTTTCTTCTCATGAACTTGTTTCTTTATCCCCCTGCCTCCAAAAGGGCTTACACTTTGCCACGTGGTGTTACCTCCCAAGAACACTTCACTTATGTCTTAGAAAAGTAAATACACAGCCAATTTGCAGATTATACCTTCCTTAGTTCTGCTATAAATTATATGACTTGTTCTTGGCAAAGCCTGAAGTCAAAGTTGGCTTTTTCCCACCCCTTCACCAACTCGAAGAATGAGTGGCTTTCACTGAAGTTGTGTGCCCAAGGATGGATTTGCCCACCTGAAGGGGATAGCTAAATTTATGGGAAGAATGGCAACTTTTCAAATAGTTCCAAGCATCTAGGCCAGGGTGAGGAGCCTATGGGCAAGTAGGAAATACTTTTTTCTTTTGAACCTGGGCCAAACCTTCACTTACGGTATTTATAAAATTTGTGATTCTGGAGGAAACCCATTATGGTCACCTTCGCCGCATTAAAATTCCAAAATTTTCTCAGCGTGTCCTATGTGGTTTGAGAACAACACAATGTATGGAATTTCAGCAGTGGGAAAAGACAAAACCAGAAATCAAGAAGTTTGGGTGCTAAGCTCATCTCGGACCCTAACCAGCAGGATGGTCTCAGACTGGTCCCTTTGTGTCCCTGGTTCTTGTTTTCCTCCTCTGTAAATGAAGGATTCAGTTTATATGGGTTATGAAGTGCCGGAACCGAGCTGTCCCAGCTCAGGTATCCATTAGAAACACAATTCACTGGGCCATTGGAGCTATTCACGAGGACTGAACAAGTCTCAGCTGATTGAGTCTTTTCATTATTGTTATGCCAAATCTTTTTGGAGTTTCTATTCCTGGCTATAATTAGCCTGCTCCGTGCTATTCTCTTCTTTGCCTAAATATAGAGAATACATTAACTTTAACCATGTAAGGAAGTCCAGTTAATTTTATTTTGAAAACTTTTAGATTTTAAGATTTTACTTCATATAACTGATGGCATCTCAAAGTTCGGGTATTCCTGCTTCAAATCATTCATTGAGTAAAACTCTCTTGAACTTCTTTAGCTTCAAGATCCCTCTGGTCAAGGATCCTGGTGCTTATTCAGTTTTGAGTTGGGCCACTATACTGATTCTTTCTGATTTGGGGAGCAAAGTCTGCCAGGCTTTCCTGCTATGTCCTAAGGTAACGTATTTAAAAAAAAATCTTGTCTATTAGGAAACTGAATGAGGGGTTCTCATATACGTTCATTCATCCACCATGTGT